AAAAAAAAAAAAATGAAAATTTAATTTTCAACCAGAAGTAATATACTTCCAACCCCATTATCTCATGTTGAGATTTGAATTATTGAAGCCCTCAAAAATGGCCTGAACTTATTCAGAATAGCAACAAAGATATAGAAATATTTCGAGCCCCATCATGACAAAGAATACCTTTTATGAATCAAGTCAGAACGTAAATTTGGGCAAAAGCAATTCAAAAAGGTATTCTACAGAATACAGGGGATCGAATATGTCAAAGTACATGACATTTCTTCCGAGGGTAATTGCCCCAAGCCCCAGCCAAAAAGGGAGTCACACATATCACAACTACTAGCCATCACAGCACGAACATAAAGAACACCACGGCACGCTCACATCAAACAAGAGACAGTGTCGGGTTGAAAAGACAACCGATCACAGAAGAAAAAGACATCATACAAAGGACTTTACACAAAAATTCAGCAAAAATACCACACAAATACAGCAAAAATTGAAGCAAAATTAAACAAAAATACAAGTCAAGCCATCAAAAGATCACAACGAAAACCATTTTTGCTGAATTTTTTGTAAATTCCTTTGTATGATGCCTTTGTCTTCTGTGGTCGGTTGTTTTCTCAATCCGACGTTGTGTCTCGTTGGATGTGAGCGTGCCGTGGTGTTCATTGTGTTTGTGCTGTGATGGCTTGTCGTTGTGATGTGTGACTGCCTTTTTATGTGTCTTGTGTTTAAAATGGCCGTATCTCTGGTTATACTTGGTCGTTTTGTACGATTTTTGTTTCTATGTGCAGGATTCTTCGCGCTTGTACTTCTTGGCATGATAAAAGCCAGCGAATGTAACTTGTTCTCTTGTGTTGTTTTGCGTGCCGTTTTGATGTTGATGTCGGTGTTGCACAGCTTTGCTTTCAGCTCTGAGGTTCAAACACCTAATTTATTATTACGAAAACCACCTAGGGAGCGACAGGTGCACACAGGGATCCCCGCAGAGGGACCCCCGAGGCGGTGCCTACCTACGACGAGCGCAGGCAGACACCGCCAAAGTGGCGCTGGATGTGGTCAGAAAAGGAGAAGCGCGACTACTACACCGGTTTCAACCATGGAAAAACTCTGATCGTCCCTGCGGCGATGACGACAACCGGTGGGTTCGCCTCCTCCTTTGTGGATCTGCTTGGTCAGCTCGCCCGCTGCGCCGAGGCCCGTGGTGTGTACCAGCCGGGGCTGGATGAGGCCTTTGTTCCTCGGTGGAAAGGTCGCTTGCGGCGCTGGTC